GGGTCCCAACACAGAGCCTTGGGGAACGCCCGAGAGCACCGGTTGGACAGGGGAGCAAACATTGTTAGCAGAAACAAATTGTGTTCGGTTAGAAAGAAAGGCTTGAATCCAGTTAAGCACGTTAGGATCTAGATTTAAATGTTTCAGCTTATGAAGTAGTAGCTCATGACTAACATTGTCAAACGCCTTCGAATAATCTAAAAAAATACAGTCAATGGCAAATCCAGAGTCGAGTAGGACGTGCAGGTCGTTATAAAGACTAAGAGGTGCGTGTCACAGGGGAAGTTTTTACGGAAGCCATGCTGGGAGGATGTGAAAAACTGGTTAGACTCGAGAAAGTTAACAAGGTGAGTGAAAATGATATGCTCAAGTATTTTGCACGGGACAGATTTGAGCGATATCGGACGGAAATTTAATGGACTGTGTGTCACCCCTGATTTGTGAACTGGCACTATCTTACCAACCAGCCAGTCTTCCGGAAGGCTAGAGTGCTGCAAGGACTGTGAAAAAATGCATGACAGGATAATAGAGCAGTATTCAACGGTGTTTTTCAGGAATTTAGAATTAATACCATCAACTCCACATGATGACGAGGTTTTAAGTTTTAGGTTTTTAATGACCGCACGAATACCTTCGGAGGTAACGAAAATAGCGCCCTTGGGTAAGTAATGAGGTCAAGGCAAAGTGATTTGGTTGTTGATGGTCACCTAGTGTGAGAAAGCTTTTATAAATGTGTCATTTAATTGATTGATTGATATGTGGGGTTTAACGTCCCAAAACCACTATATGATTATGAGAGACGCCGTAGTGGAGGGCTCTGGAAATTTAGACCACCTGGGGTTCTTTAACGTGCACCCAAATCTGAGCACACAGGCCTACAACATTTCCGCCTCCATCGGAAATGCAGCCGCCGCAGCCGGGATACGAACCCGCGCCCTGCGGATCAGCAGCCGAGTACCTTAGCCACTAGACCACCGCGGCGGGGCATGAATGTGTCATTTAGTAGAGATGCACATTCTACGTCGGGCACGGGATGCCCATCAGCCGTCAGCAAGGCTATAGCGCGATTCTCGCTGCCATGCACGAAATTCCAAAACTGTATAGAGTTATTTTTCAGCATAGTTGGTAGAGTTTTACTGAAAAAGGAAAACTTTGCATGTTTTATTGCAAATAAATGGACAAACTAAACTCCCTCCCCAGATGAGTTGTGGTGATGCTTTCACTATTAAAGCATCGCACAGCTTCGTTGTCACAACAGTATACATCTCACCAGAAACCTTGTGGACTGACATCGTGAACTTATTACTACACAACTTCCGTGCGATGTGCTTACCGGATCTCCTGGTTATAATCATTGGAGACTTTAACGTTAATGTACTTCAATGTGAAAACCAGCGCCTAGTCACGTTTCTCGATTCCCAACTTGGACTTCACCTCCTGTCAGGTGTCACACAGTGAACTATTCACAACAACACCCATTTAGGTATTTTGCTTATAGCATTATTGTTCATTCAAGCACAATAGACCTTGTTCACTACATTTTATATGGTTCCTAATTCTCCTAGCCTTACTTCGTATAACATCCCGATGTGTTGCTATTGCATTAATCGCTTTGGCCTTGTGCCGAAACTGACTTTTTTCATTTCACATAGAAATATACAGCTTTTGCTGTCAACATCCTTAAAAGAAGTTTTTAAATTGAACCCACTCCCTCGATAGCAGCTGTGCCAGACCTTTTCTGCTGAGCTACAAGGGCTGATCATCCCTTGTGCAGAGTGGAACATTTTCTGCATAGTGATAATTCAAAAAGTCTTTGTAAGAAGAAGCTTTTTAATTGAACCTGTGCCATCGAGAGTAGCAGTGCCAGACTTTTCCTGCTGAGCTACCACAGCTGGTCATCTAATGCAAAAAGCAAGCCTTTTTTTTTTACATAGCAAAAATGTAAGAAGTTCCTTGTAAGGAGAAGTTTTGTAATTCAACCTGTGCTGTCGAGAGTATCAGTGCCAGACTTTTCTAGCCGAGCTACCATGGCTCACAAGGGTATGTAGTTGGGCGTGTTGGTAATTCATAACTAATAATACCGTAGCGTGTAAAAACTGAGGCTCGTTGTCTCATGCACAGAGCGAGACGTTTTCTGCATTAAAAAATGCAAAAAAATTCTTGTACGAAGGAGGTTTTTTTTAATTTGTGCCATAAAGAGTAGCAGTGTCAAACTTTTCCTGCTGAGCTACTACGGCTGGTCTTCTCACATACAGAATGAGACATTTTCTACAGAGAAAAAGTGCTCAAGGTTTTTGTAAGGAAAAGCTTTTTAATTGAACCTGCACTGCTGAGAGTAGCACTGCTAGACTCTGCTGAGCTACTACGGCTGGTCTTCCCATGTGGACAGAGTGATGTCTTTTACCTAAAGAAAATGCAAGCTGGTCGCTAGCGCTATACCTGAAGGAATACTCATGTTTGGCGTGGCCCAGATCACTGCTCACTCCACTACCCCTGCGGAGAAGCCAAAAACACCTTACGCCATTGCTAATATTACCGATGGGACTGCATGGCTTTGGCATAAGAGCACAACGTCCAGATCGAGGTGAAGTGATACAAGAAATCTCTAACTACTTCACTGCATCTGAAAGGTGGAAACCACCGAAGCAGTCACATTCACCCTCACCAAGACACCACATCTCACTATATCAGTGGCAGTACACTGGCTCTACTCGAGACAAATCTACGAGCCCATATCCGGAAAACTAAGCGTTGCAACCTCTGAAGGTGTGATTCCTATATTGCCACCTGTATGTAATGGGCTGAGAGCAAGAGTGGCTCTCACCCTGAAAAAGAAAAGAAGATCGCGAGCGTTTTCTTTGCTCGTGATCTAGCTGTGATGAATGCACTTTTCGAAAGCTGGCTAAATCTTGGCTAATTAAAAGACCCGTGCACTTCTGAAGCCTCGTGACAAACTGGTGGAGCTGCTGGGTAGCCCTCATGAATGTGGCAGACCCCTCCAGGGAGCCCCCTACGAGTCCAGTCCCAGTAAACATCCCTGTACACCGGGCCAGCCACTGAATCAGGGGATTGCCTCCAGAAGTCAACGACATGGATCTCACCACTTCGATAGGTATGATGAGTGCTTCGGTTCAAACAGCTTCAATTGACACGGGAACCGGGATGCCGAACTGGTATATGTTGGAGAATCCCTTGGTCCCGACGACGTTCCATGACAAGGAGCGTGAAGACATCGAAGAGACTGGATGGCCGATTTCGAATGCGTCATCGCCTTAGATAAAAGAGACGACACGGCCAAACAGGGACGTGTCTACTTCTACCTGGAGGACGGGGGGCGCGTACGTGGTACCAGAATTGCGAGAAGCACCTGATGTCGTGGCACGAGTTCTGTCGTAGGCTTCTGAATATTTTCACAAGTGCTGATCGTCAGGATTGAGCGAAGCGAGCGATTCAGGCCAGGGTTCAGTTGCCAAATGAAACAGTTACCACTTACAAGGAAGACATGACATGCCTCTTCTGACAAGCTGACCCACGAATGGCGGAGGATAAGAAGTTGCGCCATCTCATGCGTGGTGTTAAAAAGGAGCTCTTTGCTGGCCTCGTGCGGAGGCCAGCTAAGACTGTCGCAGAGTTCTTGACCGAGGCTGTGACCATATTAAAGATGCTGCAGCAACGTTCCAGCATGTACGATAGACAAATAAATAGCATGTGCGCTACGGACATTTTCACTAGAACTGGAACTAACGACAGCCTTCGAGAACTCATTCGTTCAGTGGTGCGCGAAGAGTTGTAGAAAGCTGGCGTCACACCTCATCTTACATCTGGCTCAATTGTAGCGGTTATCAGCGAGAAGCTGCACCAAGCACTACGGAGCCCTTCGCCTCCTGACAGCTCTGCACCAGCCCCCCCACTGAATACTGCCATGAGACGACCTATGCCTTAAAGCAGTCTGCAGCCTCTGCCATTGTTTGTTCGCGCTCCTACTACCGCGTCTGTCCAGTCAGCGCAGCCAATATAGTACTAAAATGATAGGTATAGTCACCACCAATTGTCCGTGCCACTCCACTCAGCCATCATTCAGAGCAGCCAGTTCATTACATCGATGATATACGCACGTTCCCTCGGAAGTCAGATATTTAGAGTACTCTCGACCGCCAGCCTCTGTGCAATGAAGCAGATCACTTGTACCGTCAGTACCCATACCGCCGCCTTGGGCTTCGAAGCTTCTCTGCGTACTTGCCGCTACTCCAGTGTGGCCAGCAACCCTGCGACATTGAAAACTACTTCGCCCAGCACCCTGCACAATCGTCCGCTGAGTGCCAGTAGCGTTGGCCATCGTCGAGGAGATTTTCATCCCTGCTGCAGCGGTATTCTACCACACGGTTTCCCAGTCCCCACCTAGAAAACTTACAAGAGCGACTTCTGGGGGCAGGGTTGCTGATCATAGAAGTGCTGAAGACCTCCGACAAATGCAGGGACGTAATGATACTGATCCTGTGAGGGCTGGGCTGGGGCGAGGACAAACTCAGGTGTAAGGCAGATGAATAAAGAGCATTTATTAAAAACAGGGCATTACGTAACTTGCACGTGAGAGCGCTACATGATGGCTGGCAAAGCTGCAACACACACACGTGTTTGCAAGGCTGGTAGCGGCGATGGATTTCTTCGACTCTGGCTGCGGCTGGCTAGTCGACTGTTGTGTCGGCTTGCGCTCCATCGATAAGAGCACTCTGCGAAGTGCGCGTGCGCCACTAGGTGTTAAAAGCAGAGTGCCGTTTGCTAGTGCGCCTCTTCTTGTCCGAGCCACGAACCCACAAGCATGGGTCAATAAACGTCGTTCACCCTGAACTTGTCTGGTCCTTTCGGCACGTCTGTTGCAACGTAACACTTGGCGACGAAGATGGGATCACAGCGTCAAGGAAGGTAAGTGTTCTCGGCATTCAGCCTCTGTTCAGTATCGAAGATTGAAGAGTACTGCAGTTTTGTTATCGCTGACAGATATGAACGAAGAAGCGAGTGCAGGTTCGACGCAGTTTGCTGCTCAGTTTGGCCAGATGGAACCATTCGACGTTTCCACGAATGACTGGGCGTCGTACGAAGAGCGGCTAACGTCGTTTCTAATCCTCAACCGTGTTCCTGAAGGTGAAAAAGTAAATGCATTCCTGAGCATCATCGGTCCCAGAACCTACAGTCTTCTGAAATCACTGGTCACCCTGGAGCTGCCTTCAACAAAGAGCTTCGAGGTACTGAAGAAGACCCTGGGAGAATATCTGTCGCCGAAACCTTCGGTCATAGGCAAGCGAGCGAAGTTTCACAGGAGACAGCAAGTCGAAGGCGAGTCCATTTCTGATTACGTTGCCGAGCTGCGGAAGCTAGCACGAACCTGTGATTTTGGAAGCTCATTAGACGAATTCCTCCGGGATCGTTTCGTGTGAGGTTTGTTAAGAGAGGATATGCAGCGAGTGTTGTTCACTGAGGACAGCAAGCTCACGTTTCAGAAAGCGGTAGAGCGCGCTCTGGCTATGGAGGCGGCAACTAAAAGCACTGCTGAAGTCCACACGGGTGTGCCTGCAGCCAACACCATGCATAAAATAGAGGCAGCTTCGAGTGTCCAGTCGCAAGCATGTTTTCGCTGCGGGTCGCCGAAACATTTTGGCAAAGCGTCTCCCCACTTATACGACAAATGCCATAAGTGCAACAAAAGGGAGCACCTTCAACGAGTCTGTTATAGTGCCTCCGGCACGTCGCGTGGGAAACGCCTCATCAAGAGCCCTGTAAAAACATTAGCGGTGGTATCCCACTCAGAAGTGGTAGCCGTAAAGATTGTATCTGCTCCCAGTATGGAGCCTATCATGGTACTGATGAAAGTAAATGATGTGGCAGTCTCTATGGAGCTAGACACTGGTGCCGCTGTCACAGTCATGCCTTTCAAACAATACCGCCAATTTTTTCATCAACCAGACTCGAGCCAAGTCAAGTTGCGCAGAAGTCAAGTTGCCCACTTACACAGGAGCCCTGGTGATTCCAAAAGGTGTCCTACAGGTCAAGGTGCAGCACGGCGGCAGCACGGCGAGCCTGCCTTTATACGTCGTCGACCAGAAGGTACCACCATTGCTAGGTGGGGAATGGCTTCAGGCAATCAGGCTGGAGTGTAGCAAAATATGAAATGTCCACCATCTGCCAAGGTCAGAGCTGCCCATTTTGTGTCAATTAGAAGAAAGGCTACATGCTTTGATCACAAAGTAGGACTCTTTTTTTAAAGATGAGCTAGGCGTGATTACCGAAGAAAAGGCCGAGTTGCATTTAAAGCATAATCAGGCACTGAAGTTTCTCAAAGCAAGAAACGTGCCGTTCGCGCTGCAAAAGGAGGTCGAGGCGGAGCTTTCCAAGATGGAAAAAATGGGCATCATAACAGCCGTGGCCACATCAGATTACGCCACGCCAGTCGTACACGTTATCAAGAAAGACAGTGGCATATGCCTCTGTGGCGATTATAAGGTGACAGTGAAGCCGTGCCTTGATGTCACCCGTTATCCGCAGCCGAAGGTCGATGACTTGTTCGCAGCTCTTTCTGGAGGCACGCATTTTTCAAAGATCGACCTGAACCGCGCTTACCAGCAAGTGGTGATGTCTGATGCCTCAAAGCAATTCCTAACCTTGAATACGCACAAGGGATTGTTCATTGTCAACAGATTACCTTTTGGAATTGCTTCCGCGCCGAGGATATTCCAAAAGATAATGGACACTATGTTGAAGGGCCTCAAGGGTGTTTGCTGCTAGCTAGATGATATTTTGGTAACGAGAAAAACAACAGAGGACCACTTAGCCAATCTCGAAGCGCTGCTAGAGCGTCTTCAAAGCCGAGGCGTCAGGGTAAAGAAAGAGAAGTGCTCGTTTTCCCGAAGGGAACTTCACTACTTTGGTCACAAAATCAGCGCTGACGGCATGGCCCCATTGTCAGATAAAGTGGACGCACTTCTTCAGGCACCAGAGCCGAAGTCAAAGAAGCAGCTTCAATCTTTGTTGGGCGTTATCAACTATTACAGCAAGTTCGTTCCCCAGTTAGCTACGATAGCTAAACCATTTTACAGGCTTCTGCAGAAAAAGGTAGCTGGCACTGGGATAAGCATGCTTGAAAAGCGTTCAACCAAGTGAAAACTATACTGGCGCAACCACCTACGCTCTTACACTATGATACCGAGAGACAACTTAGGCTGTCATGCGACGCGTCACAGTATGGTGCAGGAGCCGTCCTATTTCATGTTTACGATGACGGCAGGGCACGACCCATTGCTTACGCTTCCAGAACGCTATCCGAAGCGGAAAATAAATACAGACAACTGGAGAAGGAAGCGTTAGCCATCATTTTTGGTGTAAAGAAGTTGCACTTCTATCTGTATGGATGCTCATTCACCTTGCAGACCATAAGCCTCTTTAAACAATATTAGGCCTGACAACTGGAATTCCAACCATCGCGGCTGCTCAGTTGCAACGCTGGGCCGTAACGTTGGCAGTGTACTCGTACAATCTTATCTTCAAGAAATCAAGCGAGAACGCAAAAGCCGATTTCTGCTCGCGTCTGCCGCTGCCAGGTATTGAAGCGGAAATTGAAGAAACAGAAGAAGCATTTTATTCGTTGCGATTGGACTCGTTGCCTGTTTCTAGTGGAGATGTCGCAGTTGCCACGAGTAAGGACCGAATTCTTTGTCAAGTGAAGGAATTCACAAATGTTGGATGGCCCACATCAATCACGGATGAGCACTTGAAGCCTTTTTTTCGCAGGTGCAACGAGCTGACGGTGCATCAGGGATGCGTCATGCTGGGCATAAGAGTTGTCGTCCCTGCAAAGCTGCAAGGGTTCGTTCTGGACAAACTCCATGACGACCATCCCGGTATCGTTCGCAGCAAAGAGCTAGCACGCAGCTACATGTGGTGGCCAACGCTTGAAGCGGACCTCGAACGTCACATCAAAAGCTGCGCTAGTTGTCAAGAGCAACGTAACGCGCCAATCAGTGCACCTCTTCACCCGTGGTCATGGCCGACTTCACCGTGGCAGCGTGTTCACGTAGACTTTGCAGGACCGTATCAGAATACCATGCTTTTAGTGGTGGTCGACGCCAATTTCGAATGGCCAGAGGTTTTCCAAATGCGCTCGATAACTGCAGAAAGCATGATTCATTGTTTGACCGAGCTCTTCGCACGTTTTGGTTTCCCTGAAACAATTGTTTCCCATAATAGACCTCAACTTGTTTCGCAGGAGTTCAAGCACTTCGTGCAGGCAATGGGGGCACGGCACGTCCTGACGGCTCCCTACCCCCCCCCCCCCCCCCCCCCCCCCCCCCCTAGCTCCAATGGGCTGGCAGAGCATTTCATTCAGACTTTAAAGAACGCCCTCCACAAAGACAGCACCGGAGAGACTCTACAGGTAAAGCTGCATAAATTCTTGCTGTTGTATCGCAACACGCTGCATGCGACGACTCGTGAATCACCAGCGGCATTGCTCCTGGGACGGCCCTTACGAAGTTGGCTAGGTGCCGTTAAGCCCTCCGTGACGGAAAAAGTAGCCCACAGACAATGCACTCAGACCCTAAGTTGTTGTATCGCGATCGTAGTTTTTTGGTAGGCGACAACGCGTTAGCACGTAATTATTCTGGAAAACCAAAGTGGACTCCTGCTGTGATTGTTGCTCAAACAGGTCCTGTCTCTTTCCAAGTGTGTGCAACCACACAAAGGGGCACCTTCACCTGGTGTCGCCACCAGGATCAGCTACTGCACAGACCTGCAGAGAACGTTACCCCTATGCATGGAACAGCTGGCGAAGCTACGTCCAGCGAGTTCCTGGTTTTTCGTGAGACTGGCGACACACCAGTTCCTCCCACGCCACAACCGTCCAGGGCAACTTCGATTTCGCCACAGGCAACACCCGCCGAAGCAAGACGCTACCCCTTGCGAAATCGTCGCCCACCAGATCGATTCCAAGCTGGACTCTGACTGACTGTGTGTGTTATTAGAAAAAAAAAGGGAGGTGGTGTTGTGTCGGCTCCATTGATAAGAGCACTCTTCGAAGTGCGCATGCGCTATTAGGTGTTAAATGCAGAGTGCCGCTTGCTAGCGCGCCTCTTCTTGCCCGAGCCACGAACCCACAAAGCATGGGTCAATAAACGTCGGAACTTGTCTGGTTCTTTTGGCACGCCTGTTGCAAAACGTAACAATTGGTGCGTTTCTCCACAGGGCAGTTCCCGGTTCCCTATTGTATGTCAAGGGATTCGTCTGCTAGACAGCGGTGCGTAATCCGCCATTTTGTGACGAGGCCTAAGCGACGGCTGTGCAATCGGTGTGATGGTAGGCAGTCATCGAAATTTTCATACTGCTCATGCGTTCGAAAAGAAGTGAGAACGGCGCCTGAGAGCACGCAGCGTCTTATCAACGAAACCCTCTGCCGCTGAGAACACCGAAAAAGCTGGCTGTGCCAACGCTATCATGAACGCAGCTCTCACGATCACGGACGCGATAGCCGGGGCCAACGATCACATGGGAGACTTGTGCGACGGCACTCTCCGGGTTCCCGACGCTGAAAAAGTGGCCCTTGCTTGTCCTGCGAGTGACATTCAAAGAGACCTTTCGTCGAGGTCACCCTTACGATGCGAGCGGTTTGTTTTTCGAGACTCGGAAGCAACTGCGACCATTGGAACACCGTTCATCCTCATAAGTTTAGGGATATTGAATGAACCGCTTCAGTGTATGAAGTGCGGTGTGTGTAGCGAGCGTGGCAGCATTTCCGAGAAAGATCGGGAATATGGCATCGCCACGAAACTTGTGCGGAGGTGCGCTGAGGGCGGGGAACTGAACTTTGTACAGAGCTCGTCGAGAGCGGGGGTTGGGGGGGGGGGGGGGAGGCGGTGTGCGGTCCAGTTCTGAGACAACAAGCACGCGGTTCGCGTGGCACAGCGAACGGGACAAGCTGAGTTGAATTGCATCTTTTTTTTTTCACCCTGTATGTTTCATGGAGATGCAAAGACATATAAAGATTACGAGAAAGTGGGAATGATTCCTGCCTCGTAGAACGCTGCCGCACACGTTACTGACGACTGCTCGAGCACCGCCGTAACGCTGTCTGCATGGATACATCTGGCGTACAATGAAAAGAAAGCACACGAAGAATGGTGACGACTACACTCCTGGTGACGTCTAGCATCATTGCTGCACTGATTTACGCCATTACTTGTTTAATATACATGCTCACCGTGTCCCTAAACTTCTTTTCTCGTTTTCTCAAAACATTTTTCATCAGGTCTGAGGCCATTGCCCACAGTATCTTGATGTAGTGGTTAGATTTTGATAAATTTTGCAGCATTTGTAAGCTTATACATTGATGAGTGCAACAAGACTAACAAATTATGATAATTTTATTAAGAACAGTGATTCAATTCATCATATAATTAAGCAACTGTTTCAGATTTCTGATGAGTCTACTTGTTAAGGCCATAACTCTTGAACCAATGAAGCTAAAAATAAAGCTATAGTTTCCTTGCACTCCCTGTTCTTTACAGAACACTGTCATATCTAATTTGCAGCAATCTTTTATGAGAAAGCAGTCTAAACTGTGGGAATGTAAGTTTATGGAACAGTCAATATTTTAAATCTGGAAGTGACAGCTGAAAAATAATTGCATATTTGTTTTCAGCCATGAGAAATGTGTATCACAAAAAAATTCAACTCTAAATATTCAAAATTGAAAAAAAAAAAATTTAAGACCAGTGTCTCCCCTTAACATAGCCTTGTGGCAGTGGGGGGGGTTTCTGGAGAGATGTTTTCATGGCTTAGCATTCTGTACTGCAGTGAAACCACCTTTACAGAGGGGTTACGTGCGAACTATTATACAGCTGCTCGTTTATATCGAATACTTCGAAATTTTCAGTAACTGAAATACGACTCAAAGCAGGTTCGAATGCAGTAATATTCATTCGAAGCATTCAAATATTTGCACAAGTCTAGGTGTTACTCATTCTAATATTAAAAGCACTTGAGTATTCACCCATGAGTGTAAATTTTCATGTCGTGTGAGCTGATGGGCAAAGAAGCAGATAAGGGCGCGTCATTGGGGCTAGTGTTAGTTGAACATGTTTCCGCACTTTCAACTCGCAGAGGGTCAGCAGATCAGGAAGGAGCGCTACTTGCTTGACTTCCTGGGCTCAGTTGAAGTGTCGTGCCACAAAGGCAGTGAAGTCTTCTGCCAGGCGATTCGAAAGGTGAGCAGGCCGGGGTTTTTTTGCTGCAGTGTAACATTTGACGCTTGAAACTTTTACAGCGAAATGAAATAGACGCAAGTTAGTAGATGTTATTGATATTTCTTTTTTTTTAAATATTAGTTGGCAGTTACATTACATCAAGAGGGTTTCGAAACATTTCTGAAAGTTTTAAGCTACATGTGTATTCAGAATCTTGACCCTTCATTCATCATACATCATTCATACATCAACTCATTTCATCATCTAAGTTCATTTAATAACTATAAAAAGCACAATTTAGGGTCCCCAGCTCACATTTCCCTCAACCGTTCAGCTGATGCCACTTTAAGGAGGACTCGACTTTTGTCAGCAACTATATTTCTTTACGGACTTTGCGCGACTGCATTAACTGTGTAGACAATGTTTGGCTGGGCAACCTCCTCCAGTTGAAATCATCACCTGCAGTTAACTAACTTGTTCAGTGCTGGTGACCACAGTCTTCCCTGCATGTCTCAATGACAGGTTGCCAAGGCTAGTGCTTCCGAAGTGGGCATTCACGGCTCGCATCCGTGCGTCCTCGAAGTCACCGACCTCGGCCTGCGGATGGTGGACCGTGGGCGACCAGCTGTGAGACACACTTCCGCTTTTCGCTCTTTTTAGCCTGTCTGTGTGTTGAAACCTTGAAAATGGAGCGCTCTCATGCATTATCTTGTTAATCTAAAATTGCATGACTGAGGCATTGTGGGACTGATGGAGAACGTAAGAATGGACCGGACCTAGCGCATGTGTGGCGGTGAAAGGATTTGCATTCCCATTTTCTCTTGGAGTGCACCATGTTCCTCGAGTTTGCCTTATCCTTCTCGACTTTTGTCTTCTGTGCGTACCATAAAATGTTGAGCAACCACCCCTCCTTCTCACAGGGAAACTTAATTGCTCAAGATTAAGGGAAGGGGGGGGCTTGGACCGAAAATGAAGTTGGCGGTGTAGAGTCTTAAAGATGAATGTGCACCGGTGCTCCTAATGTTCTTCATTGAATATGCATACTCTTACTATTTTTGCTGTGCCAGAGGGAATTTTCGTGTGAAATTTCATGCGTTACGACACGGAGGAAAGACAATCTTTGGATGTTCTTACAGTTTGTGGTGACCGAGAGCACAACCCCGAGGTGCCACACTGTAAAATTACAAAGGAATCGTGCGCATATTCGAAAGCTTTTAGAACTGGGTTTCCTGGGAACCTCTGCTGTGGGATTCTGTAGCAAAGAAGAGAGTGTAAAAAGGTAGTGGGAGAGAAAAGGGAAAAGGGGGGAGGGGTTAGCTAGATTATTGGTGCCTATTTCGAGTGTCCTGAAAGGGGCAGCGGCCACTTGCTTTTACGATACGAATTGCTGTTGTACATGTGGTTGTTGTAGTGCGTAGAGAAAACAACCGATTGCTGTATTCGAGTGCAACGAAATGCTTTTCTCGTTTGCAGCCCAACCATGTGCCAACACACGACTACTTTTTCAATCTGAAGAATGTCACCTTCTGTGGGTACCACCCTAAAGATCACAAGTGAGTCACTCGTCATATATTTCGCCCTGTTTGCGATAAAAATTAACAAAAAAAGTGATCGAGCTTGGAGTAGTTAAATGGAACAAGCAAACTCCTTGTGTAATTGTTAGAGAGATAAGCCATGTCATTTATATGTATTTTTTTTCTGGTTGTGGACTAAATCAGAGATTTCTGCTCGTCCAAAGCAGTTGTTCCATTGTTTGTGGGCTTGTGCGAATATTGTCATGCTTGTTTAGTTGCCTCGTTAGAATATCTGAACAGGTAATGACGTATTCGAATTCGCTTCAATTCACAATATTGGATATCTTCAAAGCATTAGAAATGAACGAATAGGTGTATGTTAGTCTGCATGTAACCCTCCCATGTAAAGAGCGTTTTACTTCAGTAGAGAGGGGCTTTATCGTGAATACACCTGTACAAGGAGAATCCCCACTGCTGTGAACTCTCACTTCAAGGTTGATGAACATATTGCCCTCACATCAATTCTTTTTTAAGCTTAAAAGCTTAATATATCGGCTCATCTGCTCTAATTAAAGTAAATTTTTAGATGTAACATATTTTACCTGTCATCACTTGCATTTTAGGGAAAGTCAAATCTAGCTACTAGTATTTAAAAGTTGCAATAACTTTCTTTCAATCAAAAAGAATGACAATTGCTCATCATTTGTTTCAATACTCAAAATATATTGTGCAGGTTAGATTGGTCAAGACAAATCGTTCATTTTTTTATAATGAGTGATATATACTAATCGTCTATTTAAATTCAATTATAGAATTTTTTTGAAAAAATTGCTATTACCTTTCAATTTACTTCAATTTTGAAATTCACTTTTTGCGCAAGCCTAGTGATTAGTTCTTTTTTGCATGTATTCGTAGATATTGGTTTTGCTGAAAACCAGTATTTATTCTGCCGGATTCGAAGCCACACTCTCCTGCGCACTCTGAAAAGTACTTCCGGTTTGACTGGCAGTATCTCCGGGTAGCCGATGTTGGTCTCCTAGTAACTCTTTTGTCCCGGATATGTGTATGTATATCATGTCCCGGATATGTATATGTACGAACGTATTTATAAAAGGCACAAAGAAAAGAAATTGTCTGGAGAAAAAATTCCGAGGCACCCACCGGGGATTGAAACTAGCAACGTCTCACTTCTCAGTGCACTGCATTAACCAACTGGGCTGCGCTGCTCATACTGTCATCTAACGCGAGCTATGTATATGCACCATTTACAACTGGCTTACTGTCAATTGACTTGAAAGAAACATGCCTGAACAAAGCATGTACTCTGTTTGGACAAGCTATACATGATTTCTCTAAACATTGACCTGTAAGATGGCTTCATCTATAGAAAGGTGGGTTCACTGAAGCACATACAGTTGGATGAAATGGCCACTCAAAACGTCTCTGGCTTAACTTTCACTATATAGCAATAGAACAAATTGCTCGCATCAAGTCCAGGAATATTTGGGAAGTTTCTGATCCCGTCATGCCTGTGAATTTGATTCCCATCGAAATGCACACTGCCACTATCGTTTTAAACGGACAAACTCGGCTTGCTGCCTCAGATGAGTTGCGGTGACGCTTGAGCCGTTAAAACATCGCATGGTTTTGTCGTCGCAGTAATAACATCTCACCAGGAACCTTGTAGATTGATCTCATTAACTTCTCGGTGCACTACTTTTGTGCGATGCTCCTACAGGATGTGTCGGTGATAGTCACTGGAGACTTCAACGTTGTACTTTTATGTGAAAACCAATGGCTAGTCACATTTTTCTGTGGTGAACTTGGGCTTTGCCTCCTGTTGGACGTCCCGCAGTCAGCTATTCACAATACCACCTGTCAAGATACACTAGAATCTCGATGATACCATTACGGTTGATGCGAACTTCGTGATGATACGAATTTTAAGGTTGTTTTGGATGAACTACATTATATAAAATACACTGGGATTTGGTGTTACACGAATGGTTTCCCCAGTCACCGCGGATGACCCAAATGTCCGATTGACCGCTGCATGCCCCGCTGCATGCCCCGCTGCATGCCCCGCTGCATGCCAGAGGCGCAACGCAGTGAAAACACGTCACGAGGCCGACGCGAAAAAATCTGTCCCAAGACCAATTGTTCCGCCACGCGATGGCATAGTATCGCCTTTTCGCTTCACGGCTTTGGCTTTACCCGCTGCTCTATCTCTCAAACCATGTGATGTCGACGACCAGCCGCAAATCAACATGGCAGCGAAGGCATCAGCGGTTACCCGAACTTGTCTTGCTTTTGCACTGCCGGCTGAATCCGCCGTCGTCGCTGTGTCCGCTCGTGTCATTTTGGCTGGCATGTCTTCCGAGGTAATGTTAGTAAAAGTCTAAACTGTTTCTTTTCAGTGCCTTGTATGCATAATTATATAACTCAGTGGTCAGGAACCGGGCAAAATGGAATGAATTTTCAAGCGGCGATGGCGGCAGTGGGGGTGGCATGCATACGAGGGGCAGAACGAATGTAAAAATATTTTCGGCAAGCGCGGGCGTGGTTTTTTTCGTCCATGCTGGCATTTGCGCTTGAATTCTCCAATGCGAGTTCTCCAGGTCTCGTCTTTTTTTTTGTGTCGACATCGCAGCGCGGTTTTACGGCTGCTGACGCAGGGAAGCGAGTGAATTTCCAATGAGTTTGGCCGCTTTCACTCGCCCTGATGTCAACTGTGAATGCGCTGCACCAGCAGCATGGGCGAGAAAACCGCTGTACTTCATTAAGAGGCGCTTAAGGGAGGAAAGTTTAAAAGAACATCACAGACTTTTTTTCAGCAAGGTGTACTTGTGAATGAAGTTCTTGTTCATCATTTTTATCATCTTCAAGTTGTTTTGGTTCACACGAATTCAGGCTGATATGAATATTTTATGCGATCCCTTTGAATTCGTATCATTGAGATTCTACTGTATTGTGGTTACTGCATTGCTGTCAGTCCAAGTTCAATCGGCCGTGTTCACTACGTTTAGAATGGTTCCTGTATCTTCGAACTTTACTTCTTATAACAGCCCGACGTGTTGCTATCGCATTCATTGCTTCGGCCTTGTACCGAAACTGTGACTTGTTTATGGATGAGTGAATGGATGTCATTAGTGTGCGTCGAATAAAGAAATGTGCAAATACTCCCTGTTGTCTTTTAGGTATTTTGGTTTCATCACAAAGCATCCGCTACGCGAGCGGTTTGCTTGCCATGTGTTCCAGGCTGAGGGCTCTACGCGGGAAGTGGCCGAGGCTGTCGGGTGAGTCCTTGAGACAGACTAAGCATTTAAGTTTTAGTGTATTAGTTATTCTAGTTACAATAAATAGTATGTGCAGTGTGCAGATAAGGGTCCCAACGTTACTCACTGCAAACAAGACCCTTGGTTAAAAATTACATAAGGGAAGATGAGAGCAAGAACAGGAAAAAAAAAATGAAGTACAAGTCCAAAAAAAAAAATTTGTCGAAATCGGCAACAAGCAGCACAAACCATTCGTGCAACAAAAAGCGATCAAAGTGTAAATCATCATAGCTATCATAAAAAACTATTTACATAAAATAAGTCTTGATTGATGCTTGAATGTGTTAAAAGAAGTTGACTGCTTAATTGAGAACGGAAGGTCATTTCAAGTTTCAAGCAAAGATGATAATGTAATTTTACCGTAGTACAGGTTGCAGCAAGGAAGCCAAAAATTGAGATTGTGTGCAAAGCTAGCGCTGTTAGTGTTAGTTTGTAACTTACCATGAATAAATACATAAGGAAGGCTTTGTAATTGCTTAGGTTGTTTAAAAACCCTTGTGCAATAAGCCTTTTGTGTATTGACCCAATCAAGCGAAGCTTCTATTCATGAATGAGCATTGTAAGTGTGTTATAAAAAAAAAAACACACACTTGTCAGTGTACAGTAATTTGGGTGTGCATAAATGTGGCCCTCAAACGCGTGCCGGTCACACGCGTATTTTTTTGTAGCCGTTTTTCAGTAATTGTGGGCGTGTCGGCGATCAGTCGTTTCTCGTACGAGTTGGATCCTTTATCGAGATTGTTGAGGTGACTTGCCCTTTGATTGTTGTGCGGATAGGAATGCACGAGCATCATTGTTGCAAGTAGCTGTTGAAGTAATGCACTGATAAACACATAGATGTAACCTAATGAAACCAACTGATAAGCTAAGGAAGGTGTCAATTAGCAAAAAGAAACAATGACTTGGTTTCGATTAAAAAACTGCACTCTTAGTTAGAACTCTAATGCACTATGTTTCGCAATCATCAGTTCATAATTATTGGAGAAAATGAAGGTCGAAGTTTAAATTCAAAATCCGCGCTTGATGTAAAAAAATTTTGATTTGCGTATTTGCACGACATTGGCTTGACTAAATTCTGTGAAACTTAGTATGCTAGATCTGTGGCACCTGCAGATGACAATTTACTTCATTTTTATGGATCAGAAGCTACGTAGGAACCAGCAGATGCCATCGAAATGTGCCGTCACTGTGTTTGGCGTGGGAGTCACATGTCGTCGCTCTCATTTTCTTTTCACGCGCCTTCTCGCTTGCCAAGCGTTGTGTCGCCGTAAGAATGGGGTTTTCAGGATTGTGAAATCGTACTTTACTAACATGCAATAAATCGTTTTTGTTGTTTAGTGTCTTAAGGGGAGATGCTACTCGAAAAACGATTTTCTTTAATAAGAGTCTGAATTTAACACAAATTGGCATGCTAATAGAGTTTTTTCTCCTCTTTTCAAATATGTCATTTATTTTCATGTAGATTGCTTGGTTTTCTTTCTGCAGGTCAGATACTGCAAAATTATGGCCATTGTTATGCAACAATTCTAACCTATAAAAATTCGAGATAAAGCATGCAGATATAGCTGGCTATGATCCTTTGGAACTGTAGAGTGCAAAAAACTATATAAATTTTGTGTGTAAAAAGGTGAAATACAATAATAAAATAGAAAAATTTACTATGGCTCTAGTTGCCAAGGGCTTTCAATGTTTTGTCATTTTTGAAAAACATAATCAAGCAGCACTGACAATCTGAATAGATACTTGCACTCTATGGGCCTTTATAATGCTATGTGCAAAATTTCATAGAGGTATGACAATTCTAAGTATACGAACTAGCGTGTATAAAAAGCACAGATCACACAAAACTGCAAAAGGAGAAAAACGCATTTGAAAGTTTGAAACCTTTTTTTTTTATCACAGAGTTGTTAGAAATGCATAATCTTTGGCCATAATGTTCAACAGAACTTTGAAAAGCACTGCAAGTTACTAGAACTGTCCTGCAGCATAGGTTGTGCCCTCACGGTCCTTGCGAGCACTCTCTTCTAGCCGTGCCCTTTTCACTCCACGACGACGGTGGGCCCTTGCTTCTGCTGTGAGACGCTCGGACATTCTCTTGATGCCCCGCAGGGGCGCCTGCGCAAGTAGGCGTTTGGTGTGTAGCGACACCACGGACCCGAGCTAACGGGGGAGTTTCTACTCCCTCTCACGCCTCGCCGTGCGTGGCTTTGCCGTGTCCGGGGAAAAGGGGATCCTGGGGGTTGAGCCGACGCCGGGTGATTGGACCTTTAAGGCTCCCCCCCGTCAGAGACAACACACCCCTTTGGCCCTGGCTTCACGTAGACGGCACTCCCGGATTGACCCGCCTGGGGGGAATCGGCAGTTGCCTTTTCCTGTCTCCACCTCACATCTTCGTCTTCTCTCACTTTAAATCTTTCCTGTCCTCTACTCACTTCCATTGACTTCCGTGTTTCCTGGCGGCAAGGGTTAACCCTGTGTGGCTATCCTACCTTGGATACACCATATTCGGTTATAGTGGTGGCGTACAGCTGGCGTCTGCGGGGCCTGTACTTACAGACCCTGCAGCGTCCCCTTGTAGGACTCCATGGTGGCTGGCTGGCGCCGCTGCCGAAAGTAAGCATTTACATATGGCTTGTTTCTTCCCCCCACTCCCTGATCGCCCTCAGAAAAGAGGGCGCACCGATGAAGTTTTCCAGTTTTTTGGTAACCAGAAAGTATTTTTTCCCCGATTCCATGTTATCCACGCTGACACACCCGGCAAATCAGTGCGAACACTTTCACCTTTTCTAGTATCAAAGTCTTTGACGGAAATCTTTGGCCCTGGATATAAAGCTTCGAGAATGGCAAGTGGTGACCTCCTGTTGGAGCTCCGCGAGCAGAAACAATATGAAAAATTGCCTAACCTAGTGAAATTTGGAGATACCAAATTAATAGTAACCCCACACCGAACCATGAACACCACCCGTAGCGTTGTCTCAGATGATGACCTGTTAGGGCTGACGGAGGCTGAACTCCTGGAGGGTTTCAGCGAACAGAATGTCATAAACGTAAAACGAATTAGCATGAGGCGTGATGGCAAAGAAGTCCAGACTAAGCACCTGATACTTACCTTCAATTCAAGTGTACTGCCCGACTCCGTTGAGGCTGGGTATATCAAGCTTCGTGTGAGGCCATATATACCAAACCCCCTCCGATGTTTCAAATGCCAGCGGTTCGGCCACAGTTCACAGAACTGCCGAGGCCGCCTAACTTGCGCCAAATGCAGTGCTGAAGAGCACACATCAGATGCCTGTGAAAACTCTCTTCACTGTGCGAACTGTAATGGGGAGCATGCCGCATACTCACGGTCATGCCCGTGCTGGAAAAAGGAAAAGGAAATTGTCACAATTAAGGTAAAACAAAACATTTCATTTAAGGAGGCACGAAGGCAGGTGTCCTGCCTACCAGAAACTTTGCCGAAGTAGCGCGTCAGCGGGCAGTGCCACGACGGCCCCTGGCGCCTGTCTGGCACACGCGTAGCGAGCCAGCGGTGACGCCATTCGCCCCCTAGGCGGTTGCAGCCAGTGCTGCTCCGCCATCCAAGAAAGACCCACCAACCTCCGGGCTGGGGGCCGCGAAGGTCTCGTCTTTTGAGGCGAGGCCCTTAAAACAAATGCAGCGCTCGCAAGAGCGCCTGTCCAGCGCCTCGCAAGAGGCAATGGACACAACACCGAGCGTGAGGGCGCAGCCAGCGCCTAAGGATCGGCGCGACTCCGTCGACCGATCCAAAAAAGAAAAATCTCGTGTCATGGCCCCTGGAAAGGGTCCGTGAGCTAACTTTCCATCCTTGAGCACACAGCACAAAACACATCTAAAATGGATACACAGATCTTACAGTGGAATGTGAGAGGACTTCTCCATAACCTCGATGATATTAGAGAACTTCTTAATAAACATACTCCAAAGGTGCTGTGTGTTCAGGAGACACATCTCAAGTCCACACAAACAAACTTTCTAAAGCATTATGCCATCTTCCGCAAAAACCGTGACGACGCTGCCTCTTCGTCGGGCGGTGTCGCTATAATAGTTGATAAAGGTGTTGCCTGTAAGCAATTAAACCTCCGAACTTCTCTTGAGGCAGTTGCTATTCGAGCAGTGCTGTTCGGGAAGCTACTAACAATTACCTCTATTTACATTCCCCCGTGCTATCAACTTTCAAAGACACAATTTCAAAGCTTCATTGATGAACTTCCTCCGCCATATATAGTCGTTGGTAATCTAAATGCACATAATCCCCTATGGGGCGACTCCCGTTTAGATGCGCGAGGACGCCTAATAGAACACTTTCTGTTTTCGTCAGGTGCATGTCTACTAAACAAAAAAGAACCAACGTATTATAGCACTGCACATAACACATACTCTTCTATAGACCTGAGTATTGTCTCGAGTGCTATAATTCCATACCTGGAGTGGTTCGTTCTCAAGAACTCTTTTGGGAGTGACCACTTCCCGATTATGTTAAAGTTAACAAAAGAAGATACACGCTCGCCTGACTTTCTTCGCTGGAACACCAAGTCAGCCAACTGGGTATTATTTCGAGAAATTACATTTTTAGACGGAGATGAGATTGCTGATTTTAATATAGACGATACTGTAGCATACCTAACAGGTTTTATTATTGACGCTGCAGTGAAATGTATCAAGCAGACCAACGGAATGACCAATAAACGTCGCATCCCATGGTGGAACGACGATTGTAGGAAAGCGCGCAATAGACAAAATAAAGCCTGGAGACTACTCCGAAATTACCCAACGACTGAAAACCTCAACAATTTCAAACAGGTGAAGTCCCAAGCCAGAAGAACGCGTCGCCTTGCAAAGAAAGAAAGTTGGGATAGGTACATCTCCAGTATAAATTCTTACACCGACGAAACGAAGGTTTGGAATAGGGTAAAGAAGTTAATGGGTCGGGAGTCACACCC